AGTAAGAATTTATTAGAATTTATGAATTTAAAATTCTAATTTTTCTTTTTATGAAATGTATATTGACATATGAATATATTATATTTACTGGAATACTAGATATTTTAGTAATAGGTTCCATTCTTTCAACACAACCAATGCTGACTTCTGGGATCCATAAAGCACAAGAAACATGAGCCCATTTTTGGCCACTACGAGTACACTTCATAGCACCACCTTTGTTAGGACAAAGAACACAATCTGGTCGTTGACTTAGAGAACAAGTTCTACATAGCCATGAACCATCTGGTATTGAAGTAATTCCATAACATGCTTGATGTACACATATGTTACAACAATCACAAAATACCATTTCGTTTCCTTCTTCAGAATCGGGCTAATAAAATAATATTTTTTTGATAATCAACCATTATTTTTTAATATTATTGGTATTTATAAAATTATTCACTTACAGATCTACAAACGTCGCAAATTACATTTTCATCATACTCAATACCAAGACCTTCTTCATTTTTTACTATAGTCTGTATTCTTTCCCAACAACGAACTTCTAATTCTTCTATCACACGTTCCAATTGTGATTCTGTAATAGGCAACTGACCAGCCTAAAATTGTAAAATAACAATATTATAAAATTTTGAATAAATATTTATTCCTATATTTTAAAAAAATAGATTATATATAATAATATACAATTTTAATCATTTAAATATATTCTAATCTAATAATTTTTAATATTTTAAAGATATAAAGTAAAAAAAATAATAAATAAAAAATATATTTAATTTATTATAGAGATTATTATTTAATTAAAAAATTATTATTAAATAATAAATAATAAAATTTATTATTTTAATTGATTTATTTAAAATTTTTTTAATGAATTTTTACAAGAATTATTAAATTTCAAAAATACCTGTGCACGTTCACCATTTAATACATCCAACCAAGCAATATCAGTATCATCAAGATCATAAGCACAAGCTTTTTCTGCTCTTGCTGGCGTTGTGCTTAAGTGATGATCTTCAGGATTGAAATAATCATCACGAGATATCCTCACAAATTTTTTAGGTCTATAAAAACATTATCATCAAAGAATATTATTAACTTAAAATTATATTATATATTATAATTATAAATATTATAAACTTAAATATTATAAACTTAAATAGACAAAATAATATTTTATATGAAAATATTTATCATTATACGAAAAATTATATTTTTACTAAATATATATAAACAATATTTTGATTAAAGTAAAGATTTAATTTTAAATTATTTTTGGAATATATTTTTATAGTTTTAAAAATATTATTACTTCTTTGAAATTTTAAATTATGTATAATTAATTTTTAAATGTATAAAAAACATACTAGCATTATTTGCTTATAATATAACAATTGTTATAATATAATTAATATCAATAAAGTGTCACAACATGACACTGAAAATATTTAATATAGTTATTTATTAAGTTTAATATAAATTTTGAATATTTATATTTAAAAATTATTTACTTTCAGATATATATATATATATATATATATATATATATATAATTACTTTATATAATAATTATTTTCAGATATATATATTATATATATAAAACAATAATATTTATACAAAACTTACAATTTGAATTCACTGTGCTGCTTTATGGGTGTTGCTTGTGTGATAGTGACTGTTGGCTCAGGTAGGGAGTCTGGATTAACAGGTACTTGAACACCTCTCTCCCATTCTTGCTTCCATTGATCAGTAATAACCCAATATTCATTGGGACTTAGTGGCTCGCTATCAGGTAATTTCATTGCGCTAATCAAATCCTTACGAAATAATTCTGCAGGTGCCTCAGCAGAAGAACGATTATATATACTAGAGATTTTAATGTCACAAAGTGGTCTGGGGGTCCAGGATGCCCCTCCTTGACTGGACGACGCCATCGTCTCCTCCTCTTCTGAGGGCCCCATGGTAGCTGCCAGCGACGACGAACCCGTCGCTGGACCCAGCCTACATTTGCGCCTTTTGATTGCGCCTGGGCAAGACGCCAAATCATTGTCGTTTCTATTTATCCGTTTGCCTCGCTGTGCCATTCTATTATACCAAATGATTTAGCGGTACGTGGCACGTGCAGGAAAACCGCGCGCACCCTAAAATGTTCTATTATTATAAATTATACAAATGATTAATAATATTAGAAAAAAAAAGTACTAATTTAATTACTCACTACATAGTCGTCCATGTATTTATTATCTAGAAAGCTGGTTCCTCTCAAAGCTGTAAAAATAAAAAATAATTGTAATTAAATGAAAAGTGAAAAAAATTTTTATTTAAAACTTTTCTAAATAATTTTCTATTTTTTCTTAATACATTGTAAATGATTCTCTGTGTAACATTTATTATTTTTTATAAATAAAGAAATATTTGTAAAATATCATATGATTTTATAATAATTTTCATAAAATAAAATTTCCATGCTTAATGTAAGAAATGGAGTATACCAAATTAAAATAAAAACAAAACAATATATAAATTCAATAATTTATGCATTGTTTAAATATTAAATTGATAAATATTTTTACAAATAAATAATTGATAAAAGACAAATCTAATAGAAATAATATGTACAATGACAATACATAATAATAATTGTGTAAAAAAAAAAATAAATGGAATATGATTATTTAAACGTATTTCATATCCTTACAATTTTCATTACCTAATTATAAAAAATACGTTCTTCTGTATACAAGAAAATATAAAATATATATAAATAAATTAATATTACACAGAGATCATAAGTATAAAACATAAAGTATTCCTTCGCAAACTAAATTTATAAAAAGAGCACTTATGATTAGAACTATTCGATAACACAAATTTACAATTCTAAGAACTAGAAGACATTAAGAATTTTATATTAGAACTATAACAATGCAAACATGTTTGAAAGCATAAAATTCGGAGAAAAGGACTCATGGTATAGACCGATTGTATTGCAGGGGGTCTGCGGCCGTTGATCCTCGATGGCCGCCGCGGAGAGGTTATAAATGGGACAATCCAGCAAAAAGAGTTATAATTTAAACAAAATTGGTTTTCCGTAACGTTATAAGGCCTTGAGTAGTTGGAAAAACACAATGATCTTCGAGAAACTGATCGCCGTGGCGGCTGGCATGTAAACATTGCGACGGAGTTACTCCGCGGCGACGCTCGAGCGGCACCGAGGCTCGACTGTAAAAAATCGCCGTAAGACTTTCGATGACTCGACACGAGGAAATCGAGACTCGCGGTCGAGAGAATAGACGTCTAGAAGAAGATCGGGCGGAGAGTCGAAAATGCTCACGGGTCCATTGGGCTGGTGGTGTTCCTGCTGGCCGACAACATTGACAATACAGATGGCGACAGGATCGACTCGCACACGAATCTGGATACACACGTATACACATCTGAACGCACACGCAGATGAATTTTAATACACATGCACACAAATATAAGTAAATATACACACACAATATGAAAACATAAGTATGCACGAACGTAAATGTATACGCACACGATGTTGATATGAACACGCGAGCACAAGTTCGACACGCACACGTAAACATGAACACGCACGCGCGCGCAAGAAAGAGTAAGAACGAAAGAAATAGAAAAAGATAGAAATGGTCGGAAGGCAGTAAATGCCTTATTATTGATCTATCGACGGAGAGAGTGATTTCGCGCGCGATGATGCACGTGACAAATAATAGCCGGTATGTCTGATCGTGAAAGATCGAATTATTTTTCGATCGGTAACTCCGAGATGGCAGTAGTCCGAGTACGCCTCTGTCACGGCAGCCTAACCAAGATGTCCTCATTAGCAATTCGAGTCGTAGCCGCAACTAGCTCGGTTTTACTCACTTCGTGGGCCGAGGGCTCCAGTCGAGCTCACTCAATGCCCTCAAATAGCCTCCGTAAGGATACCTGATGGCTTTCTTCCTCGCGCAGTACACCGAATCGATATTATATTTACATTAATGTGGATACTGCTGTTTGGCGCCATCATGCCTAAAAAAATAACTGTCTGAGCGCGAAGTCACGTGACCCCGCGACACAGCCAAATCTTGCAATCACTTTTATTCATAGGCCATAAGAAATTCTGGAAACAGAGCAGAATAAGAACTTGTGGAATCTCTATATGTGTTTGTAATAATTTTTTTTTCATTTTATTTTAAAATCCATTATGAATTAATAAAAAAAAATTGTCTTTGATTCAAAAAAAATGTCTTTTAAATTAATATTTTTTTTTATATAATATTTATATTCTTTGGCTCTCTTAGAATATTTCATATTTTATATCTTTTTTCCATAAATAAGCTAATATAACAGAAAAATTTTTATTTATATTTTTCATCTAATATATATTAAATGCTTATGTATATGTTATCATTTAAACAATTTATTCCTAAAAATATTTAACACAATAAATTACTATATTATCTAGAATTTTTATTAATAAGCTATTTTATGGTGGCACAATCATAAAATAACTAGTATTAATACAAATCTTAAAAACCAATTTTGATGCTTCTCACTTATATTTATTTGATAATATATAAATATTATATTAAATTATAAAAAAGAAGATTAAATTTATACTTGAATATATGAAAATAATATATTATAATTATTTCTTTTTTTCGGATATATAATTAATTATATTTAACATGTTAACATTCATATCTAAAGTATGTATACATATAGTTTTTTTATAAAAAAATATTTTATATATTTTTCTTATATTTATTATTATAATAATTTTCAATATCAATTTTTATATTTTTATAGGATTTTATTAAAATCGAAACAGAATTTAGCAGCATTCTTTTATTATCCTGTAAGTGTAGTAAGTAAAATTTTATTTATTTTTGATATGTCCTTGTAAAATATATCTAAAATAATATTTTTTTGGAATCATTAATATATTATTAACATACAATAGTAGTATATAAGATTCTATAAATTTTAGGAAAAATATTTCTTTTTTAATCTAATCTTTTTTACGATCATAGCGAATATCGAACACAAGTTCTTCTCTAGTAATAATAACAGAAGTTTGGGAAAATTGTGACGTTTTTCGTTATTTTATTTTCAGAAACATAAAAAATAAATCATATTTTTTAATTATTTTACATTAATTTAAAATAAATTGATAATTAAATTGTAAAATAATTTATTATGATAATTAGTATTTTTTTCAATCTTTTCTCTGCAATAAAGTTGTTCGTATTATAGAGGTTATATTTACATGTTTTATATATATAAATTCATATTACATAAAAAATATTAAAATTTTCCTAAAAATTATTCTAATCGATAATTAAATCCATATTTATATTTTATTAAAAATGGAACAGGTATTTTAAAAATTATTTTTTTTACATCATTAAAAAATCTTTATAGTATAATTTTCTATTTTTTAGGATTTAAAAACAAAAATTGATCAGGCTTGCCGAACAGCTGAAGAATTTACGAAGCTTTATTATGAAAGTTTAGATAAACGTAGATATGTAAATAATAATTATATAAAATAATTATTTTATATATTATTAATGTATATAATAGATTAATAAAAATACAAAATATCATATTGATTCTAGCTCATATCAAGATTATATTTGGATACTGCAACTTTAATATGGAATGGAAATGGTATTGAAGGCAAAGATAATATACAGAAATTTTGGACAGATTTGCCACCTTCAGATCATTCTGTTTTTACTTTAGATGCTCAACCAATAACGGGTAAATATTTATATATATATAAGCATCTTAAGTTTTTGTAGTTAATTATTTTTATCTACTTAAAATAAAAGTGTATGTCCTTTCATAAAAGAAAAGTATCTATTATTTTTTATGAAAATTTATAAATTAATATATTTAATATAATTATATTTTAGGTCCTGAAGTGGCAGATCAATTGACGTTTCTTGTAAAAGTTGGAGGGCAAGTAAAATATGATGATAAAACATCAAAATCATTTAACCAAAGCTTCTTAATTGCAGCAATGGGAGATAAATGGAAAATTGTAAGCGATTGTTTTCGAGTACAAGAAGCACTAGAAAATGTAAATTAAGATAATATAAAATTATTTGTTTTCAAAATGTTTGAAGATTTTTTTGATTCAATATTTCTTTTTATTTCTATCGTCGGTCTTATATCAATGTATAAAGCGATATTAAAATTTTCGTATTAGTGAATCAGTACGTTGGTCGATCATTTAGGAATAACTTTACACGAGAAGAAACTAAAAATAAATATAGATATAAATACTTAGACGTAAACATTACTATGATACATATCGTATAAAACATCGATTTTATATCCTTTGACGGCTCATCAACTTAAATATCCAATGATTAATAAAATTCCGAGAAGTTCTAAATATATAGTTTTTTAAGCAAAATCAATTTATCAATATATAGTTTATAATATTTCTTAAGATGGTCTATAAATATTGTCTCTAATTACTTAAATTTAAAAAAAATCACACATAACGTTTTTTATTTATATTTTATTTCTTATTAATTAATATAACTTATGATTAGAATGATTAAATAAACAAAATTATATAATTAAAATGTATTAATGATATGACAATTTATTCTGTAATAGACAAAACGATTCTTATAATACACGATTACAATAAAAATTAAAAATTGTTTTAAAATAAATTTGATCAAGCTTAAAAATTATTAAAAATATACGTAAAAACTTGAATTATTAAGTTATGTGTGATTTTTTATAAATAAATATGTATTTACAGATAACATTTTATTACGTTTTTTTGATCTTATATTTTGTTTTAATAAACTAAGAATTGATTTAAATTCCAATTAAAAATTTATACATTTAAAACTTCTCAAAAAGATTCGTTCGTACGATCACTCGTCTTTCTTTTCCTCCCACCCTCTCTCTCCCTCTCTTTCTCGCGTTTTTATTGAAGATAAAAGATAAGTCGATCGGTGTATCACAGGTATAAATGATGCAAAAAAAAAAGAAAAAGAAAAAAAATAAGAATCGAAATGATTGGGATCAAATCGAAAAATAAAAATTCCGAATCATAGAATAACAAAAGTTGTCGATCGATGTATTTTAGTAGCCATATATAGGCAGTGTTATAAGAGAAAACGACTTGATTGGTAAATCGAAAAATTTTTGTTCTCGTTGCATATTTCTTATTTTTAAGTGATCAAATAAAAAATAAATTCAGACTCCGGAAACTTTAGTGGAAGACTTCCAAAAAAAAAAGAATTAGAAATAATATTACTAATTTTAATGTAAAAAATAATGAAATTATATAATTTAAATGCTAAGTTAAAAATACTACCACAATAGTAAATTCAATTTGAATTTGATCTATACATTTAATTTAATGATTTAATGATTCATTAATTCAACTAATTAAGTAATTAGAATGTAATTATATGGATTATAATAGAAAAACAATAAATAAGATAAAACAAGTATTAATTTTTTCATTTAAAGATTGAATGTCTATATATCTCTCCTTTGCGATATTATTAATAGTGCGATAATATTATTTTCATTTAAAATAAATTTTTATAAAATTAATTTACTTTTTAATACAATTATTTTTTTTTTAATTTTTTAAAAAGTATCCGGAGTCTTTATTTTCTATTAGCATTCTGTGGAAGAACATCTACGTAATATGCAAACAACAAAAAATTTAGAACTTTGATTAATTACACCCGCTGATTTACACAAATACATACAGTAAAACCTTGTATATTATTATTTCTTATACAAATCTTATTTTTGATTATTATAATATTAATCGAACTTTCGATTATTCAATATTAATATAATTATTATTTTAAATTATCAAATATTAAATTTGTAACTAATAAAAACTTTTATGTTTAAAATACATATTATAATAAAATATGCTTTGAACAATTGCTATATTTAAAATAAATTCGTAATAATTAAAACAAAACAATAAATATATATATATATATTTGTTTAGCTTTAATTAATTCGAATAAATATATATACAAATATCAAATATTTTAAAAAATATGATGATTAAAATAATATATTAAATGGATTAAAAACGGAATTAAAAAATATTATTAAATAAAAAAATTGATTAATCATAAAGTTCATCAGTTTAAAAGGACTTCTGATTAATTTCTCTATTCAAAGTTTTACTGTATTATTAAGCATATTTGTTATTCGACTTATTCTATACAAATACAAAAGTTGTTACATTCTCTCACGCATTAAAATGGCTTATTCATTTAAAAGTTTTCGCACTTACGATGTATAATCTAGCCTAAAACTTTGCATACGATATTACGAAGCACGGCGCAAAAAAGTTCGATGAAAGAACACCGAGACATTTTACTCGACAACTATAATCACCACATTTATCGTATAGCGGACGAGTATGATTTACTTAGAGCTTCACTTATACAGAATACATGTTAGATCGACGTTAAAGTAATCATAATTAATTTACAAAAAAGAACCAAATGCTCAGTATACAAAAGGTATTTTTTTCTATGTTTGTCATTTATAAAGTAAATATATATTTTGTTATTTTAATAAACTGCGATTACTCGTCCTTTTTTTATCATTATAAAATTATTATTAAAAAAATTTAAGGAACCAGAATATATGTGATCCTTGTTTAATTATATTTTTAGACTCATTTTGCTCTTGACATTTTTTTTTTTTTTTTTTTTTTTTTTTTTTTTTTTTTTTTTTTTTTTTTGCGAAACTCAATACATAAAAAATATAAATGAATTATATTTATGTACTATGTGGTCTTTTTTCCTTAATATCAAAAAAATAATACTTTTATTATAATAATATTTTAAAATCTGAACGAAAATAGCTAATCGCAGTCTATATTAAAAGATGTTTTGATGAAAATTGAAATATACTTTTTTTTTTCATTCAATGTTTAAATTTTAGATTTTTTTTATTACTTTCCCATCAAATAACATTTAACTAAGGCCGTGTTCGATTTGAGGCCTTGTTCTTAAATATTCTTGGCTTCGAGTATTTCTCCAGGAACAAAATTGTAAATCATCATCAGAAAAATCATTGTAATCAAAATTTGTAAAAACTTCATTACCAATTTAAATTAAATAAAGATTATAAAATTGCTAAATTCAACAGAAAAATTCAAAAGAATAAAATTTGAGAATTCGAAAAAAATTTATAAAGTTTTAAACATACTGAGTAACAGATATGAATATTATGTCAGATTCAAATGAGGATGAGAACAAGGGTGGAGACAGAGAAAACGATGTTAATTTCTCTAATTTATCTTTGCACGGTATTGACAACATCTTTTATCGTGTTTTGAAGATCAGTGAGAAGTCTTGTATTCTCCGTAACATTTCGAGTGCCAGCTGCACGAAGCTGTCGTGCCTGAAGCTCTAACCTTGCAAGAAGCTCGCGAAATTGAAACCGCGCATGTGGAGCAATACCACTATCTGCAAGATTAGCGCACATTCCGTGTAACAACCCTACCTTGTCTGAAAGTTGCAACCAGCTAGTCATTACTATCGTTGAGCTACTTTTCAAATTTAATACGCTGTTTTCAATTAATGTTGAAAGCTCCAATACAATCTGTTTTGCAGTTCTTGAATCTGTATTCTGTTTACTTAAATCATCTTCTGCATGTTGAGATTTCGTACAATTCGGTGTTGCATATATTGAAGAACCAAAATGTTTAGTCGAAGAAGATAATGGTTTTAGTGGTTTTGCAGGAACCACTGGTTTTTCTGGTTCAACTGGTGGCCATAGTCTAGTATCACTTTTACTACCAGAGCTACAAATATTGATAATATTTAATATATAATAGTTTTAAATAATCAATATTTGAAACTATTTATATTTAAAAATTACAATAATATTAATTAATTTGATAATTTAAATTATCATTTAACAACATAAATATTATAGAAAAAGAATGAGTATTTATATTTATGTACCTCTGACTACGAGTTGAGGCTCCACTATGATCTTCAGGAGAATCTTCTGTTTGGTCAAGGGTTTCTTGTTTACCACTATTTCCCCTAACACTAAGTTTTGGACTGTGAGGTTGACTATCACAAGATTCTTTATTTTCCCAAAGTTTTTTTAAACTACTAATACTACCAGTACTTCTACGTTTATCATCTTGTTGCTCTTCTGATTCTGAAGATTGTTCAGTGATAGTACTTTTCTCTTCTAAGGATTTTTCTTTTTCTGCATTCTCAACTTTTCGAAGTCTGGCTTTGAAATCAATTATTTGTCCATCAGATGTCTCTTCTTTTTGTGGATTATTTCGTTTGTCTACTCTTTTCAATTTAAAACCGACATTTCCACCAGAAAGTATAGATTCAGTTGTTGAAGAAGATATGGATGAATCTTTGTAAGGATGATGCTGTTGATCTTGATTTGCTTCATTAGTTTTTAAAGTTGATACAGCATACTCATTTTGAGCATGTCTAGCACAAGTAAAAAAAAATATGAAATATATGTACATATCTTAAAAATAGTTAAAAAATAAATAAAAAAAGGTAATATGATATATAAACATTAAAATTTACCTTTGTCCTGTATCCATATTAAAACTAGCACAAAGTTCTGAAAGTAATTGTGAAGCAGGATCCAGAAGAGCAGATGGAGTACTACTTGTTACGGTTTTTTTCGTAGTTGTACCATGTTTTGTTTCTGCACTTTGCTTTATTTCATTTATCAATTTCAGTTCTAACATTTCTTTCATCCCAGGTTTACGTTCAAAACTATCAGGAGATGAGTTTGAAATTGGTGGTGGAGGCGGCGGAGGAGGAGGAGGTGCTTCTTCTGGTGGTGCAGCAGTTTCAATGGTATCTATTCTGGATTTAAAACCCGTCCTTTTATTATCGATAGTTCTACCTGAACTATCTTGAGTTTCTCTGCGTCTTAAATTAACTCCAAACCTCGAACAGGCTTCTTTTACAGAGGGCTCTGCATTACTAACGTCGTTTCTGTCTTCTTGTTCATTTTCATCCTCTTTTGCACGCCAATCTGTACTTTTTGCTTTTCTTATAGATAAAGGAGAATTTCTTATTTGAGAAATTTCACTGCAAGAAATAGGAGGTG